GCTGTAGGCAAGTTAAATTGTTCCTCAAAGTGTTCTTTCCAGCGTTCAAGGCGTCTATCCTGAGAGCTAATTAAGGAGCCATTTTTCTCAGAAATAGTCTCACTTATGAATTGCCTTCTCCCACCCGATTCTGTGATGAGTCTAAAGAGTTGCCTAGTGTTGCCTATCGCCAATGCTTTTTCCATCTCTTTGGCCTTTGTCGCCCACCACTGTTCACGGTCCTTGCGGAGACTTTTCGTAAGTTTCCTCTTGTGCAGCTTTCGCTCCTCATTGAATTCGGAGCTCGCCGGAATAAGTCTTCTAGCATCTATCAGTTCGGATGAGGCAGTCGAAATCCAGTGGTTTTTACTCACCTTTGGATTTGCCTTATTCACAGCTTTTACAGCTGTATCTATAGCTGACTGAATATTCTTCCAGGCTTCTCCAGGGTGAGCACAGCTGTCGAATTCAGATATGTGTTTAGCTAGTTCTTCCTCAAATAGGGATTTAGTTTCCTGATCGAGCTGGGGACGTGATGGTTTTACCGCCAGCTGTTTCCTACGTCCGTTCAGTCGTAAGCACACACGAGCCCGGACCAGTGCGTGATCGGTATCTACACACGTGTTCCAGAAGGAGCGACAATCTCCTACCGACCCACGCCAACGATAGCTTATTGCTATGTGGTCTATTTGTGTCCAGCGTTGGTTTGATGATGGGGGTCGCCAGGTTAAACAGTGTCTCTCCTTGTGTTTAAAGTTAGTGCTTACAAGAAACAAATGATTATCTGAACAGAACTGTAGGAGACGGTCACCGTTGTCGGTTCGCTGGCACGGAACTCCATAGGTGCCACCGACATCCTTCTCAGATTGACACAATTTCCCTACTTGAGCGTTAAAGTCACCAGCTAGAACGACTATATCTGAGCGTTTAGCCTTTCTCACCAAACTAGACAGCTTTTGGTAGAACTCATCCTTCGTTTCATCCGAACTGCAGTCAGTGGGGGCGTAGGCGGAGATTACGAAAAGGCATCGGCGAGTAGTGCAGTCCTTTCTCCTTCTTACTGATCCGTTCAGACGGACAGCACACATTCGGCTATCTACCGGGATCCAGTCAAGCAATGTCTTTTCTGCCCTAGTACTCAAGCTATCCCTACGCCAGCTAATCCTCGTGAACTAGCTGTGGCATCTCCTGACACCCTCAAGGTGAATTTTGAAGATTCATCCTGTTGGCCAGGTGGGGTTAGGTGAATAACCACACTTGGGTCTTGTATGCGTGTTTCTGAAACACAACATACATCAATGGCTCGAGATGCCAGGGTCTTAGCTAGTGATGCTTGTTGTCCTATTTGGCAAAGTGTCCTAACATTAAATGCTCCTATATGAAATTGGTGGCGTGGCTTTAGGAGACTATCCGTGGTGGTTTTTTGGCTTTCGTCGTTTTTAGTGGACACAGAGTGAAGAGGGAGTGAGGAGCCATCAAGTAGAGGAGTTGCATCAGTGGAGGAAGGCAAGGTAATAGAGATGAAGATGAAGACAAAGATAAGTGAGGATTAGAGAGGTTTTGTGTGCATTTCGGATTGTGAGGGCGTTTGTTACTTCCCGGCTGCCCACACCGTGGAAGTTGGTTGCGTGACCGCAGAGCCCAGGGGACAACTGCTTGAGGCCGGTCACACGCGGCCTGTTTTTGTTTGTTCTTTTTTGTTTGGTGTGCCTCAGTAGCATACTTATCACTCCCGCCCTGTGACACGGCAGCAGGAAGCGCGGTCGTTGTTAATCCGGGCCACGGCCGATCCGGCATGAAATTTTGTGAATTTGTTTGGATCAAGAGACATAAGTCTCAGCCAGTATAGCTTGATTAGGTCATTGCGGTGTTCAAGCCCGACCACCACGTCAAGGTAGCAGCTTTCGGTCGGGCAGTAGCTTCATTCTATATTAATGGAACACTCTCATTTTATCATAATTCCTGAGACCATACAGTCAATGTCATGACTACAGTCCAAACAACATCTCTAAAACAACTTGGTATCCGTACTTTTTCGTAACTGAATAAGGAGTATTTCCCGCAGCAAGTACTAACTGGATTTTTAGCAGGATCCCACAAGGACAAGAAGGATTATCGTAGTGTTATATTATCACAATGACATAAATTCAGACAACCCATCGAAAACAGACAGTAGTATTGCAGTATTTGAAGCATTGTGTGTAAACCCACAATGCAGTCAATTCGTTATCCATCAGGTAAACCCCGACACCCAACATCAACAAAATAACATTTAGACATTGATTACTAAATGTGAACAGCAAACAGAATTATATAAATTAATCAGGCCACCTCGTGTACATGTATACTACATTAGAAACTAAACAGGCAAGCTCATACGATCCACTGTTTGACAGACACATTAAATGTGTGAACGTAAGAATGTTTATGAATTAGCACAGTGCCTTATGGGGCTTTGGTGCTTGGAGTTCCTTCCAGACCTGTGCTTCGTTAGATGGGTCCATATTAACGGGCCTCAAAGCATCGTAATTGAGAATATTGAATGCTATTGCTACAAATCACTATGTCTTTTGGAGTGCTTTGCCAAGAGTCTGAGAAGTTTTTGTAAATTGTTGATCAGCGCACTAACTGCCTCACAGACTTCACAGATGAAACTACACTTCTTGCTTCCAGCTGCTCATTTGAGCAGGAAAAGCTACCGACTTTTGTCAGAAGTTGGTACTGATTCCCTCTCACTCAATGATTAGGTTTCGAGCAAGTATTTTTTGATCTAATGAGTAAGGGTATTGAGTTCTAATCAAGTTATTATACTTACTGTCCACTGGAAGAGACGTACATACACCAGTAATTTGTAAACAAACCGTGGAAACCTTGAGTTTTTTAGCAGGATTTTCTTCAAAATCACAAGCAGCTTAACTTATAATTTTCATAGCGTCTTGTCAGCGTAATACACGTTCGTCTGCATTATCTAATGGATTAACAACCAGAGTTGAATTTAGCTTGATTTGATACTTGAGAGCAATAACAGCTACCATCACTTTCCTACGTCATACTGTTGAGAACAAACTTTAAGGTCAGAAGATAAACCTGGAATGTATTAAAGAATGATTGGAGTCCACATAAATTCTGTGGAAGCAGCGACTATCCTGTATGCGTCCATGCCATCGCTAGCTTACAGCAATATGATCCATTTGAGTCTAGACTTTAGTGTTAAAAGAGGGACACCAGGAAACATCGCAGCGATAGCTGTGCCGAAGGTCGATGCTTGAAGGATACAAGTGTTGATATGTGCAAAGCTTTAGAAGACGGTCCCCGTTATCTAACTTGCTAGCAAGTGGTTACCGTTGACCACCTAAACGATTCTCCTCTGAATCTAGACGACTGGCCAGAATTACGATATCTGTCAAACACACATCCTCGAGAATCTCATTCATTTATTAGTATAACTCACACTCAATCGCATTAAGACTGGAATTCGTCGGTGCATAGGAAGAGATGATGAAAAGACAACACTTCTCTAGCCAGTGGCTTCTTACTCTATAGTATAACTTCCTGGCTTTACAATATATAAACGACGTGTAATGGAGTGATTGAGCTTCTGCTCTAGAGCTCACTCCATCCCCCATATGTACTACAACGAACGACCATTGCATAAGTTCCTAGGGAATACGCACATGAAACACGCTATTCAGTCTTGCAGGTGGGAAAGATACTTACAACGCTTAACTCGGATCTTGTATGCGAGTGTCTGATAATCAGGAAACATCAACAGTGAGGCTATCCACGGTTCTGGCAAGATCTGGTTTTAATGTGTGAATGATGTTGGTGACAAGCTTCAACACGACAAGCAGTTTTAGAATAGCTGCATCAGATGTCGTACTGGAAGTCAGCTTTCTGAAAATAACAAACTAGCAACTCAAAACGGCCTGGATAAGTTGAGATTTCAAGCAATAAGAAACGATTGACAAAAGTGAAGATAGCTAAAATATGTATAAATGATAAATGTAAAACAAGACAAAATATAAGAAGAAAAATATAACGATAAATAATCGAATTGCTGTGATAGAGAAGATTTGTAGCTCAGGTGGATGATTTTGATGTGGTTGTGTTCTCTGAGCTGGATAGTTGATTTGCAAATTCGCAGAAATGCAAAAATGTTTCACGGGATTAATACACACTTATGAAATCTAACAGTTTGTTATCTGTATCATTTTGTTTCACCCGATATCAAAAAGACTGCTTCATACAAAGGAAATTTAACTGAGTTGCCACGTTTACGCTGAAATTTTGAAAATTCTGGTTTTCTGTTTTTCCTTTTGATAAACCTATTAATATAAAACAGCAAAAAGCAAGTGAAAACAATTTTCTCCTTTCTCTCATACGTTGAAAAATACGAACTTTAAATAATAACTAATGACTAGAATTGTTTGTCGATTGCATGCGATCTTCGCGGATCAAAAATATAATATCAGAAGTTGCGACGTGGCTGTAAAGTAGGCGAAAGTAAACTCCTTTGAAATATGCTCATCAGTTTCTACGTAGTACTAAACCTTGCCTCCAACAGAGGGATTAAAAATTGAAAAGTATGGAACAAACCTTCTTTCGGCCGGCTGAGATTTGTCAGAGACTTGTTCAATGGATGGATTTTCCGTTGCATGTACAGTTTAATTGAAACCCGAGGTCCACAGACATTTCCACGAGGCACACTACACAATTTCATTCTGTCTTAAATCATTCAGAAGACGCTCGATGCAGTTATTATATACAGACCCCTTGATACTATAAATTTCTGTCCATTTTTTATCAATATCAGCACTAAATTACAAACTATGTTATAAATAGTCTTGCCCCGGTACAACACAGACTTCATACCATTTAAAGTCTTATACCCTTCACGTTGATCTATTTGACTCGTAAAGCCTTTGCGGCTGTCGTTTTGTATGATTAGTCTATCGTAGTTTACTCGCTTGCCAGTCATATATCTTTACAATTTATTTCTAATGTATATATATATATTGCAGACCAGTTTAATCTTACCACACAATATCATATCACATCTCCAAGAACACTGAATTGCTATTATCGTCATTCAGTAAATTTATTTTCTCTCAAATATCAATCAGGCGATTCATTATACAAACAACGAAAACTAGTCCTAAGAAAAAATGCATGACATGGATTCTGTTCAGTTTGAGTGTCAACAGTTTCGTTCAGCAAATCCAACCATGGTTACTGATATGTCAAGGAATCCAAAAATCCTGAGAACAAGAGTATTCACAAGTACCAAGTTCCTGGTTGTAAATAAGAAGTTCAACTCACAACTGTATCACAACCGGACACTTGATATCATATTCACCATGTCACCGGTAACAACTGAAGATACAAACAATGGAATGGAAGAACAAGTGGTGGTCTCTAAAAATTACATAAATAACAAACTACTCTTGCAACAAGGTATTATCGAAGTAAACACGATGGACAGCGCAGGATTGCAAATGAACCTGGAAGATAATACGAGAATACATGAGTAAGTCGCAATATATATTAATGAATAAAGATATACAAACAAAGAAATGTTGTTGCATTACTACAGAATATTAACTCAATACAATGGTTTTTACATGTTCCTTTAGCTTAGAGATTTGATTATATGACCAGCAGCCTATTAGACTCTTAGTCCATACTATGATTCCAGCTCTTTGTCTGAATCAATCTAGCTAAAGGTGTAAGGTTTAATAAGTATAGCACACAGTGGATTAATTTTGGCTGCTATCCCACTGAATAATTTTTTAATCCTCCCTAAATCTCTATACTTTACTTTAAAGCTAGATTACCAAAAGTATCAATGTACTTCCAATGAAATTACTTCATAAGTGAATTAAACATAAGATCAGACACCATGTCAAAAAAGTAGATTAGTAAATAAATAGGTAGGATTTCTTCGTCTCTTCCAATACTTTTAAGATGTCTTACTAAAAGTATCACAAACCATTAATCACAGAGCGCATCATTTATAGTATTTCTAAAGTGAATAGGGTTACAGTATAAACGACTACAGCAGAGTAAGTAAAGAAGGAATACATGTATGGAACTATCTAACTACCTCAAAAATTGCCAGTCAGAAGTTTTTAAAGGTATTATTTTTTCCATATTGAATACAGTAGTTGTGAATCTGTTTCAAATAAAACAACTATTCTGATATAAGCAAAACAGTGACCGTCGGGGAAAGTGAGTAAACATTCAAAACACTAGTGTTAATTTCCCTAAAATTATAAATGTTACTTTTTATTTTTCAGGATAAATATTCCAAGAATCTTCTTAACTCAGAATCTGAACCCATTCGAATGGTCACAAGTTTTATCTAACTGTATGGTACGTCTAATAAATCAATTGGTTTTATTTGAATTATTGGAATAATCCTTCCTTAATGCGAAATATTTGGATCCTCAGTAAATGTGACCAGTATTTAAAATTATCGAGTTTAGGATATTTGTTTATGCTTTCTTAATATCTTTAATAATGTTTGCAGTGTGGTGAAATAATTAGTAGGTGTAAGAAACGGTGCAATATTACTGATGAAAATATAGCATCAGAAAGAAGGCTAATACTTTATGGACAACTACCTGATAAAAGCATTATCTAATGAATTCATAAATTCTAGTAGGACTTATCAGTTGGGCTAATTAACTACTATTTTTCTGATATTTTTTGCTAGTATTCAGTTCATTAAAGAACAGAAACGTTTATACACTCATTGGTTTCAACATTCTTAGTCATAATCAGCTAGTGAAAATTTCTAATTCCACCAGTTAGTTCTTTGTTATCCTGTAGTTAGTAACTTCATTCGTACACTGTATAGGTCTCAACAGGCACTTACGAGTAATTTTCTTAGTGATAAGTTATTTCACCACAGTGCTTCATAAAACTACCACTGTAAAGATGGCAGACACGCGTTTCTGATAAGCGCTAAGTTTAAATTCCAAGAATCCTAATATTTTACTACCCAGCTTTCACAGTGTGTCAGACTTCACAGTCGCACAATTTGTTGTCAGAACTCCAAACTTGATTGACGAGATTCCATTTGGAAGAAGGAAAACACCTTCTAACAGTATTGAATATTCGTTGGTTGATTGACATAAGCAAACGTAACTCCGTTAGAGAGAATAAACATTGCAATGGATTATCTTTTATGCGGAGATATATACACTAAGGTAGCAAGGAAATCTCGTGCATTCACACTCAAAGAGCATGCACCAGGTAAAAGCAGTTATTAATATTAGGCTACAGACAATTATAATCCCCTTATATGTATTTATCAATCAATCAAAAATGACCCTCTAGGTAACACCTCAGATATCTCATAACTTACTAGTAAGATTTATAGACCTATTTCTCTTTTTTACAGAATATATCACCAGAAATTATTAAGCAAGCCTGGTTCCAAATGATATCAAGCAAAAGTGTCAATTCAAGACTGATAGACCTTTGTATCAATTCCCTGAAACAGATATCAGTAAATCTTGTCGATGAAATAGTGAATATAGCTGATAAGAGAGTAGGTGCATTTGTTTCATAATAAAATTAATTCTAATATCCATTTATAGACGAACAACTGCTCATGTTTTCTTATTGTACCATACTTATTAAAGAAAATTCATCACTTTATCGTATTCTGTATAGGGTAATACAGCTCTGCATTATGCAATAAGTCAGGCGAATTGGCCCATTGTGTATACCTTAATGAACAATAGTACGAAAACTGATGTGAACAAGTTTAATCGAGCTGGATATACTCCTTTAATGATGGCTGCAATGTGGATAAGTAAAGTAAGTAGCCCCCTTCACGACGTACGGCATATATTGCGGTAAATACTAAACTTTGAATTAGAATGTACATGCAGATTACACGGTACAACCAAGACGAAATATTGTAAAGTTCTTCCAAGCTTTTACCAGTGTCAGTTAATGATACAATCTATTTCATAATAATTTGAGTCTTTTGAAACTGGTGCTTAAAAATCGGTCGAATTATCTCTGTATCCATTTTCTCTCACAAAACTATAATGCTAAATAACTGTGTATCTAGTTATAAATAAGGTATAACCCTACCGAACGCGAATGAACTTTCTCAAAAATGCATGTGCTAAAGCTAGTCATTCGGTTTTCCCCTCTTGTAACTGAATATTATAGATAAATAATGTTGGTCATTCCTCTGGAGGCTATACTGATGAAGTAAACAGTTTAAATGGTTTATGTAAGTCCTGTGAACCATCAAAGACTGAAAATTCGACTATTTTGGGAAATATGAATACGAACTATCAACCCCTAGTTTGTTAGCTTAATACACGAACAAAACCAGAAATTTGTTGAATTAAAACATTTCTCGATATCCTCTTGGCTAAGTATCTGGATTAACCGGCTGACGGGTTAATGCGTTATTTCGGGTGACTTTTAGCCATACCAACAAAATTCTCTAACCACTGGTTACTAGAATTCTAAGCACTTCATTCAGGTAACTAACATGTTTCTACGTGGTTCACATGAATTTTCAATGACTCCATGGATTCATATCATGTTTTAGCCTGACCATCCAGCTAACATTGCCTGTAGAGCTCGGAATACGTAACGAATGTCCCAATCACTGAATTAGACCTAGCTATATGACTGAAATGAACAGAGAGATTAATCACTGAATCTTTGTTCATAGAATGAAAACCAAACATGTCTAATTGGAATGATTAAAAGACAATATGGAATAGATATTGGAAAATTACAATACAAAGAAGAGGAAAGTAAAACTATGTACAGCAAGTTAAGAAATCGCGTGAATACATCGATATGATTATGAGCCATAAATAATGCTTGAGACGTCATTCAGTTGTCGGTAGTGTTATATATATATATATATATATAATCACTGTGTGCTATATTAAATAAGCTTATTTAAAATGGAATCGTATCTTATCATAATACCTAAATCCTGCCTCTACGAGCTTTTTTTCTACCTTTGGTTGTTGTCTAATGAAATGTGACAATCTCGATTACTAAAGTTTGTGCCACATTTTGAGTCAAAAACCCAATCCAGTTCGAAAGGCTGTGAATTTCAGAATCTCAAATGCCACATTTGTCAGGCAAACTCACCAGCAGTTATTACAGGAGGACACGTCTCTATCACCATAATCTGCCGAGGTTGGTAGTTTATACTAGTCGTTCATAATTTATTACTTTCAATTTCAAATACTTCCAAAGTTAAAGCATCTGGTTTTGCATGGTATATCATTTGGGTCCTCACAGTTGTGGTCCCAGTAGGGATTGATATCCATGTCTAACTAAGGAGGGGGATTGGATACGGGGATGGATCGTCTTTATTTATCGCAATTTCAATACCAAGCTGAATATAGTGCCAAGATGATATTTACTGTAATGCTGCAAACTCTCCTCGAAATACAGACCTATTTTTTTCAGAGAAGAGGTGGATATGTGAAGTCATCAAAGCTGTTGGCTTTACATCCATGGAGCTGCAGATGCTAACGTGTGCAAAATAATGGACGGGCAGAAACCATTTCACTCTCTCCCAATTTGCTGATAAGAAAAATAGAGCAACAAATAGTTTAAGGAAACCACAAACAATATTCTACATAGTCATTACACATCACGTATAAACAGATATTATAATATCTGCACATCAGTCAAGTTCATTCTTGTCTGAATTTATTTAGTTCCTGTTGGCGATGTTGAATGCCAAGTTGTCTAAAATTACGTGTTTTTTCCACTAAACCTAATTCACGTGACTTTATTTCACGAATTAATGGACTTAATCCGTAATACAACTGGAATATTCAAAAATAAAACCTATTAACTTTACGTAAGCAAATGAAACAAATCGTATTAGCAAACACATCAGAAGTAAATTTACCAGTCGTCTTAGACTGTAGAGATAAACACGAAAGTGCATCAGTTCAATCTGCCGAACTTCGAAAAAAATACACGAAGTGGGGGAACAAGTGACAGGTTAGCATGGGTAGCCCTGAATGGCCTCAATATACTTATCCAACTGACTCAGCTTACTTAATTGAGCATTGAAAACACCCTAAAAACAAAACCCATACAGCTTCTTATACAACTAATCCTCTACTTCATTCTAATATCCGATTCCCAGAAATTATTTAATATCTTAGTTAACCCAGATGACACTTCATAATCATGTGATTATGAGCAATAGTTAATATTACTGTATAACACTGCGTGATTTAGCAAAATAAAATTTTATGTATAATGGAGTTCTACTCTACCACTGTGCTCAAGTTTTATACTTATACCAATAATACATTCACCAATGCGATCGACAGATAAGTTTAAGCTTTACTTCATCATTACACCATCATGTATCTGCTGACATCTGTAGGTTAAATTATGCAGACTCACCACGTTGACTAGGTAGAATTAGGTGGATAAACACACTTGTCTCTCAGATACAACAAAAAAACCATTGTCAGAGACGTCACAGACTTTGCTAGGCGACCGGGTAAACGTTATGGTGTCGAGAGCTTCCAAATGAAATCGTTAGAGTGGTCTGTGAGTAGTGTTTCGTCAGCTTGAAAAGTGGCTATACATTTAACAGAAAATGAAGGGAACCTATGACAAATAGTAACACGACAGCAGATGGTCAACAGATGATTGTTTTGTTCTGGTAAGAACACGTATAGTTGGTATTCTTCGGCTGCACACACAGCAGGCTACCTGGAAAAGAATTAACCTCTCGTGATTGTTGAGTTCAGGGGAAACTGCCTAATATCAGTCACGTATGACCCACATGGAGGTGGTGGGATCTGTACGAATTTTCCCACATTAAAATCCTCAACCTCAGGTAAATGTCGTTATGACAAAAATAAGAATGTATCCTTTTTGGACCCATTTTTCCCATGCTTTTAACAACAGAACAGGAAGAAAATGTAGCGGTTTTATGGCTGCCTCGAAGAAACCTTAATTCTGTTACACTCAGATACACTCATAACAAATTTGCCATTAGATTACCCTTATAGTTCAAGCTATGACAGCAACCGCCTTCATTTAAATTAATGTCCAAGTGGTGCTGGTAGCCGTTCTAAGAAGATAAGCCCATCTACTTATAGAACATTCGGTCAATTTTACGCTTAAGTCAGACCACCACCTCAAAATAACATCTAAATGACTGAGTTATAACATTGAAATTTGCACAGAACTACAGCAGTTCAAGTTGTCAGACCCTATCTAGTACACAAACGTAGACATTATAAACAGAAATGTGATGGAGAAGCATAGTAACGTGGAAAACAAGGAGAAACATGAGTTTCGTGGGTTTGGGAGATCACAAACTGTGAGTGCATATGAGCCGTTGAGAACCATTTTGAGACATATCACCAATAGTCTCCAGCTATCGGTTCTTAGCATCCTAATTAGGCACTCTGCATCTCCATATGTGACTCAAACCAACTGTTAAAGACTTCATTGATTGATGCCACGTTTTGGTTTCATCATTTCTAATTCTTTACCAAGGTAATCCTATGTCAGCTAACATTACTCAACGATAAGGTTGATGGCTTCGTATGTGCAAACATGTGTTCTAGCCATCTCAATCGGTGTAATTGCATCACCTCATCAATTGACTTATTCTCCTGATATTACACTCTACGCCTAACTTCATTACTACTAATCACCATACTGTAATACTTAACGTAGGGCATCGAAAGTAGATATCTGTGGTCAAAGGCAGCTATTCTGCTCATATCTTCCACTATCAATACCCATGTGTCCCACAGCTGTAAAGGAGAAGAGAAAAAACTGCTGAACAGTATACGTCTCCTTTGATCAATTAGTCGGATATCACATCTACACCAGAGATGACGCAGGTAATGTGAATATCTCGTATCCGTGCTGAGATCTCGTCTTCAATTAGTCCGCTGTGGCTAATACAACTTCCCAAATAAGTGAAGCGGTCAGCACACTCAACTTCCTATCTTTAAACTAGGAGTCGGTACATGCAGAGCAATCATGTATTATCGTCTTAAATTTGACAGGAGAAAACCTCATGCCAAACATTCGAAGAATGCTGCCTGTCAAGGTGTACAGAAGACTCTGCATTTATCAGCGTCATCATCCGCATATTCTAAGTCAGCAAGACTATTCCCTGATAACAAGTTAATCCCCAAGTCGCTAATGTAAATTACAGTCAACTCCATCATTACATGTATGATGAGATTAAACGAGAATGGGGACAATGGGCACCCCTCATAGACACCACTGGGTGTCATCCCTTTAGATGAAAACTGTTCGGAAACTTATACTCAGCTGTGTGAGTTCGAGTAGAGTGCTTTGATCAGTGCCACTCCCTTTCACAGCCAAATGTTGCCTGTCGGCCGATAGAGTGGAATGTCTCCTTCAGGTCGAGAAATACAGCTTTTTTTGGATGCTATTAAGTATCCTTATGTTCCAGAATCGGTTAAAGGGTGAATATATGGCCAACACACCCCTTCCCGGGTCTACAGCCTGCTTGGTCTCCTTGGGTTTGTTTCTTCCGAGAGCCACTTAGTCTACGCACGATCACTGGACCTAGATGTTTGAATACTATGTTAGTTAAGCTAATTCTTCGGTGACTATAACACGAAGACATCTCTCTTGTATTATAAACTAGGATAATCAATGACCTACGTCCGTCTGACGGAACTACCTCCGATTTCCAGAAATTATTTAATATCTTAGTTAGCCCAGATGACACTTCTCCACCACCGTCCTGAAACGTCTCTGGAAACATTTCATGTCTTGATGTCTTATCTCGTTTAAAATTGGAGACATCCTTTGTAACCTGTTACAGATTGAGGACTGATGTCTACATCTTATTCAAGTAGGTATTGGATGCTGGGAAAGTTGAGCGTGTCTCATAACCCATCAGCATTCATTTTAAAGGTAAATATGTGTAGAACAATTTCATTTAAAATTAGCCTATCTAATACGACAAAATTTTTCACCTTAGCCCATTACAAAAGAAGATACAGCGACACTGGATATGGTTGTTTCTAGAGCCAACTTAAAATTGATATCACAAAATGATTTCAAGCGAACTGTTCTAATTTTGGCTGCGATTTACGGGTGTGAAACAATCGTTTCTAGTGTTCTCACAAAGCGGAAATCTCTCATAAATCAAAGTGATGCAGGAGGCAGCACTGCTATAATGTGTGCTGCAGAACACAACCATTTAAATGTAGTCACGGTTCTTCTGGGACAAAGTAAGATCAATTTACAATTAAAAGATATAGTAAGTTTACGTTCTAGCTGAGGTGGTTCTTATGATTTTTAGTATTCAAGAGTTATCTGATAACATAATTTGCTTGAAAGCTTTTTTTAACATACGAAACATTGGTATGGTCAATAACAGATACATGAAGGACTGGACAGAATTTTCAAAGCAGGTCTGGCTGCAAATCTAACGATGAAAAGGTGCTTACTTCGGTAGGACCTTTCACCCTCATACATTGGCATTCACATAAAAGCGAAATCATTTATTCTGCCTATCCGTAGGGAAGCTTTGAACATGTTCAAAAGCAAACAGTATCCCTCACATCTCATAACAGAAAATGTACAATCATCTCTCAATATAGCCTAACAGAAAGACTAAGACAATTAGAATATGAATAGTATTTTCACCAGTTTAGTGTAATAATAATATTGTAATACCAATTATTAAAATTAAGTTAAACTTATTAATCGTAAATTATACTTAAATTAAGTGATTGTAAAATTATGCTTTGTTTTTAGAATGGCCGAACAGCGTTGGAAATAGCAATTGCTAAACAGAATTATTTAATAGCCTTACTTATTTACGCTAAGATTCAGGTACAAAGGCTAAATACATCATATTACCGGTAAGTTGTATTAACAATTACATATCCTAAACCTATATATATATATATACATGTACAGAGAGAGAGAAAAGCAACACTGACTGAAACGTGTTTAATTTACATGCATGCATTGACAGCACAAGTCAATTGGCTTTGTTTAAATAGGCAGTAGCTTGTACATAATGTTGTACCCTTTTAACAGATGGTTGTCATAAAATTACTGGTCGTAGAAATTCACTTCATAATCGTGGACATTAAGAACGGAAAAATATTCATTTGCTGATTCCGTAGTGTCTTGAAAATAAGTTGTCAAATTACTGCGTTAAGTGCATAGTGAATGCTAAATACATAAAAACCAGAAATTCCTACTAAAGTTGTTCGACAGATCTATAATCCCAGACATGAAAATTTCGGGTACAGCATTTTCACTTACGTAGACATAATTACGTACCCTGTTGTAGATAGTGGGTTTTTTAAGCTAATGCAATTAAGCTTTATGCTTAACAGTATTCTATCATACACTTTGCCTTGATGACGCTTCACATTGTAACAAATCTCAATTGAGAAAAGGCTCACAAAATCTGAAGTGCACTACAACACTTGCGCCGCAAATGAAGAGGCAGATTACTTAATTTCAAAGTGAACAATACATAAGTGGTAATGGTTGACGATACTAACTATATAATTAAAGCTTGTTACGGGAGGAGTTCAAACATGTGACTTACTATCTAAGGCGTAAGTACTTATACCAAAGAGTTATAGATTCATGAAAAGAGCACTACTGTCTAAAATAAACAATATAATCAGTAACGCGATGCACGTAAATTCCGTTGAAAATAATAACTGGATAACACAAACCACAACAAAGTAAAATTTGCGTGATGTTGGTTCTCCGTTCTTCTAAATAGTTTGAAACTGGCTTTGTCAGTTTAGGTATGGAGGTTAGGATCTCAAAATAGTATGAGAAAGTATTTGGGTGTTAGTCTGATTTCAGTCGTTGTAATCTCTTTCGAATGTTCGTGGCCAAAAAAATAACGACACAAATAAGGATACCGATCAGCCGTCTGTAAGATTGGCAGAAGAAGACTAGATATTCAAACTAAGGTGATAGAAACACTTCGAGTCATCTTCAGTGGCAGAATAGACGTTACATAGGCATGGAATTTTTAACCTGGTCAGAATCACCAAGAAAGATCTAAACATGGAGAAGATACCGAAAGCCAATCAGAAAGAACCTGAAAACAGGTAATCAGAAAACCGCACATTAAAGAACTAATAGCTAGTAAAAAAGTAGTACGCTTTTGATAAATAAAAAACAAACATAAATATGCTAAAAAGAGTGGTAATCAACAACATGTAGCAACAACTCTGTTTCTCATAGGAATATCCATCGTGAAATCAAGTTCTATGCACGAATTCCTACAAATGATTATCAAACACTAAGTTCCAGAGTCCACTTGCTTTTTGGATTTTGTGAGATACAGGTGCGTTCACCGAAGTGTTCTAAACTCAAAAAGTTTTTTAGACGTACACAATTTACTTTTTTTCAATTGTATATGAATGGAAGTGATACCGTAAAACGTGACTAGTGATCTAGTTAACCATTGGAGTAGGTATCTTGATCGGTTTTTTTCTTGCTTCAGTATCCATTTGTTTTCATCCGAGAACTTAATTACTGAGCAGAGACAAACGGAAGTAGTTTGTGAGGGCACGATGCATGAAATTAGAATCGATATTGTATGTTATGCTACGCGCAAGTCTATTAATTGTTTCCCAGCTTTACTTGATATGCAACTTGACATTTCTTAGCCACGTGGGTTTAAACATACAATAGTACTTTGTCAGTTAATAGTTATAGCAACAATAATAATAAGTTTCACCACAGATCTAGTAGTAATTTGGGTAGAGAACTCAACAAAATACAATTTAAAGATAAAACAACTAAATAATATCCCGTTGATAATAATTTCTTTTGTTTTTAGATTTGCCTAATATTAAAGGAGAAAATACAGAAGAACTAATAGATGTAACTGTAAAAAGATTAGTAACTAAGTGGTATTGGTCGGAAAAGGTAATTTGAATCAAAACTTAATACACAAATTAATATTAAGACTGATTGTATGTGTAAAAATGTACTTAAAAAAAGAATAACAGTCTTTTAAAATCCATAAAGCAAGCAAATAAATTAGTGTTAAGGATAAGAACAAATATTTAATGAAGATTCTAATATCAAGAGAAAGCATTTCAGTACACAGAAATTAATAACAATCGCAGATTGCTTAATAAAAACATGATGTATGTGTAGACGTGAGATTAAATCTTTAAGGAGGAAATGCGCAATATTCTACGTAATCAATGCTACGAAAAAAATCTAAGTCAAGTTAGTATTGTACATCCTTTATCCGTAATTGAAATGGTATGTTCAAACTGAGCTGTCAAAACTCTGTCACTAGTAACTACTGTCCATCCGTCTTCTAAAACAACAGGAATTGCGAACCTTGTATTGGATTTAAATTTAGTAGATGAAAGTGCAATACACGGTTCCACAGTGAATGTATGTCCAGGAAGCATACGTACAAGTGGTTGGGATACGGATTCATGGATTGAATGCACTATCTCCGGAGGACCATGTAAAAACGAACCAATCCCATGCCCACATACACCTGCTACTACCCTACACTGAAATGCATTCGCACATTTAGTGACTGCCTCTGCGATAGATGTGTAAAGGGCATTTGGACCACAAACGCTAACACCAGCATCAAGACATTTCTTGGCCACAGTACACAAATATGTTGCAGTTTTCATCCGACCGACAGTTTCAGAATCTGAATGATCAAGTTGGTCATCCAAACCAACTACAAAAGTTTGACAAGCATCACCATGTGCGTAACCATTGTAAACTGATATATCTACAGATATAATATCACCAGGCCTCAGTATTTGTGATTTTTCAGGGATCCCATGACAAACTACTTCATTGACCGATGTACACACAGATCTATAATATTTAATAGAAAGCGAAAAGTTAGCCATATCTTACAAAAATAGACAATAGTCTAACAATAAATCACAACATAACAGATACACACTTTCAAAAAAATACTCAAAGTCTTAGTGTTGCAGTTAAGGTTTCTAAAAGCCATAATAGAATTGCATAGAAAAATAACAAGTCGAAGAAAAAACAGAATTATCAGAAATGGCAGAAAGATGAGACCAATAGAAAAAGAAGTAAGGCGATAGAAAACATGTGGGATTGTGGCAAATAAAAAGAGGCTTAAACTCATTTCTTTACTATAAAAACAGAATTAGGTTGTAGTGGTAGAGCACAATTACATAACAGAATGATTTTATTTGAAATAGTGCACAGTGATACAGCATTGTTTATTTACATTAATATATATGTAAAACTTAGACATTATGGTAGTATGTACTTCTGTATTAATTTGTTTATTGGATATAGCACAGTAAAACAGTATTATTTACCACAGGACTTTCTAAACACAATTTATTGTTCATAATCATGTCCACTAACATGAAATGTCATCCAGTAAATAATACTGTTTCACTGTGTGATAGATTTTATTCTATTATAGTACATATTTCTGTTTATTCATGAATTCGAACGAAGTCGCTAAAATCTACCAACTCTGCGTCAACTTCGTCTGAGAGTATGTTAGAGTCTTATCACTATCCTGGTAGTATACTATGGGATATCATCAGGATTTCTCAGAGTAAGAAATGACGTCACAACCCATTCACCATTTAGACAGTTCCTCTCTACGGAGCCATAGTTTACGCAGCATTACAACAATTTATACTGTGAACCCCTAGATGTGTAATTCTTTAAATTGTTAGTAATTTTACTAGTGGCTATCTACACTGCAATCAAGCAGCTGCATGATAGAATGTATGGATACTGAAACGCTTATCGCTTGATTTGTTGGATAAAAGCTACTGTATACAATTCTACGGTACAATCACAAGGTTAAAAATCATGGGTAAAATCTTAAAACGGTAAACTCACTTAGGAAAACTTCGATACCCTAGTGGTGAAGGGTAAACCGATCTATTCAAACACTGGTCAAATATGAAGTCGTCAATGTCCTGAGTAGATAAACCTGTTGTGATATATCCTTTAAGTGCGTCAAATATTTGGCGAACGACTGCACCAGCTCGTTTCAATTCCTGTATACTATGTTCATTATGAATAATTATTGAAGTTGGTGTAGGATCAGTCTTAGAAGCGATGTAAGGAGGTAGTGGGATATATGATGGAATGCTGCGACCATATATGTGAAGGTGACGAATATTGTTTCTCAACAAATTACGAATTAAAAGAACCATTTTGAAGTTGTTAGGAGTTAGTTAGTAATACTTTAGACAGCCTGAGACAAGTATACCAACTCTTTAGATCTCACACTAGATTTGTGCTGATTTCCTTGAAATTTGAAGATGGTAATTCCAGCTACAGAATACGGGAAAGAGTGAGAAGAAAAAGTAGCTGTCGTCGCAAAATCTACAGACTAATAAAGCTGATATTTTATCGTCAGAAAGCTCGAGATGTTGAAGAGTAAGTAAGTCGGTAGCAGAGAGAAAAGCAACTGAATCCTGATATGTTCACCATCACTATATTCTCTCTTTTGAAAGTATTTACTCTGGAACAAAGGAATAACGTAGGTAGAATTATTGTGAATGATCTTGAATCTAGTTCATATCATTAGTGAATATGAACTGATGAAAAACTGAGTCCAGCAACCAAAAGTACACAGAATCACGGCAATGCTTCGCGGAGATTCTTGAGGGAATTAGATAAATAAAGTAAACGAACACTGGGACACCAAATTTACTTTGCATTAGCAGGAAAATACTGAAGTTCTCAGTGGAAGGCCGGTAGAATATGGCATTTTGAAACGCAGGATCGGATACATTTAGACATCACGTTTCAGCCACTTACATAACGTATAACCTTCGTCAATTTTTTCCTAAAAATATAACTGTTTTCTGGTGATTACAGGCTACAATACTTATTAGCAGTTAGTAACCCTTAAAAATCTCTAATCAATATTTCCTTGAGTATCAAGACAATCTTTTATTTACGTGGGAAAACAGGGCTGACAGAGAACACGCAACCAGTAAAAGAGAATAATTGGTTGATGCGCCTATACCACTTTTAGTGATTCCAAACTGTTACCTAGGGCTTTGATTCCTTATTTCTTAAGAACTACACGACTTCATCCAGAAGGTCTGAACTTTTCTCGATAGACTGGGCTATTTATCAGTGACCTCACCAAAAGGTTAAATAAGTAACTAAATTCGGTTTCATTGTGTAGAACTGTCTTATACCTACATTTAGCAGACGTGAACATCAATGTATAAATTGAGAGAAGCATAATACAAAGAACCTCTACATAGTCCAGGGAAGAACTGGATAAATGCTGAGAATACATACCTACTATTATCACTAAATGTTATAATAATATAAGGCTAGATAAGCCTGAAAACGAGTAAGATTCAAAAGTGGTTTCTACAAAGGACTGGAAAGTATGACTTAATTCATGTAAGCGTGCATTTTGTGGTCTCATATTTCACAAAAACAAAAAACCAAGGACATAAGTTTAGACTATAACTTTTATTAACGAAACATTATTTAATACTGAATTTGGAGAGAACTGAAGATTAAGTGATTATGTAATAAGCGTAATTAATAGAGAGTAGTAACATTTCGATGGAGAATATGACAGATGTTGGATTCGAAAAATCTGTTTTTACTTATGTCTCTGTATCCAGCTTCCTTTATCAAATGAAGAAAAAGTTATAAATAATATTCAATATTGTATGCCTATGAAAAACAAATGCGTTTTAATTATGTTGCTAATAGAACGGAAGAGTTCATTATAAACTCTTAAATTTAGTAATTGAAGCACCACACACAGTTGTTTACCTAACTTAGATCAACCATATTTCACTAAATATATTTTCAAATCTGGAATAAACACTAACAATAAGTTCACACCAGTCACATTGATCGATTTCAAAGGGAGATTTTATATGATATATCATACGATGGAAGTTTGCAGACGGGTTGCATGTAAAGAATATTTTACTGGAACACATATGGTTGCATGATGATTTGATTCCATAATCTGTTTTTCAGCGACGCCCGTCTGATGTGTCTTCATCGAAAACGTATGGTGGAAAAATAGCCGTTCCCTATAGTTAATTCACTATAACTTCATGTTCTTTGAAAAATTCTGGATGCACTCATTTGATCCACATACAGAAATACAGACAGTTAAAAAGCCGTCTTTTGCCGTATAATAATTTTTTCGCTAGTTTTACAGAACTATATTTATGGGGCTGCTATTGCAATAGGGTTTCCTAAAAAAATACCCCTGTTATGATGAAGACAAAACTGATCCCCATGGCTTCGAAATAGTAAACGGTTCACAGTTGTACGCGTCACTTTAGTCAAGCCCATCAGGAATGTAAAACATTCACAATACACAGAATTGCACAGTAATAAAAAGTCTGATGCTGGCAATGCTCGCCTTTCTAAATGAAAGTAGTCTTGGGTGCGTATAATAAACATTGCTAGGAGATTCTGACAAAGAATGTCTAGAAAATTTTATACTATTTTTTTTTAATCTAAGACATTGAAAAATCGCCCTTTGAATTCTGAAAACAACGTTCCACGTTTTTAGTCTTTAAGGTTATGTTTATGGATAAGTCATAATTAACTGGAATGTATACAATTGGGAAACCTAATGCAGACATTAGTGAATCTTACGCTCCTTTTCCATGAACAAAGCGGACAGTTTGCCACTATTAACAAGGGGACTAGCATTGGTGTACAACAGTTAAACCTATCACAACTTATATTTGCAGATCGAAGAGAAGAAATAAAAATCAAGATAAAGAAAAACCACCCAACAAAGGTCATAAAATAGAAAACTAAAGAAAAGTAGTAGAGTGAAGACATTTAATGCAACTTTTAAGACAAAGACGAAAGACGGCTGTTTTTACAAAAACTGCAAACGGTCCTTAACTGTATTACCAAATTTATTCAACCTTGAGTTCCAGTGGTCGTGTGACCCTCATTTGGGCAACCCCCATCTCAAAAATCACTCGAAGTATTAATCATAGTTTGTTTTGATTCAAGTAGGGAAGTGTAGACTGATTGGTTGGGGTTACTAAGATGTTAAGAGCCAATAGCTAGACTTTAGGCAATACTGTTCAAAACTGTTCTCGATGGAGCAGATGCATTCACTGTTTGTGATATCCTAGATCTACCAAATTCTCGTCATTCTCCATATCAACTTGTTTAGTTTATTAGCCGGTCCTAAGCCTTATTATTTTTGACTCAAATAGTATATGAATATTATATACTTCTTGGCACGAGCTGAAGTGATCTTGTCACGTTTGTTTCAAAAATGGATTTTAGAGTTCTGAAATCATCACTATAAGAATAACCCAAGATTAAATAATGAAAGCCTAAATCAAACACCTGTAAACGAATTAAACTCTCGCCGATCATGCAAATGGTCCGGGGTTCGATCCCCTGCCGACGCACACTTGATATCTATGGTCGGCCTGCAAAATTTGGGCTACTGATATCACATGCTGAAAATTCCATACTTGCACCAAAAAATATGGCGTGGAATCAAGCTGTAATAAAAAATAAATAAAATAATTGTTTATTTCATCGTACGAATTATCTCAGTTTTCAAGGGAACCAATCGTGCAATTATTCCGGCGAGCTCCGAATTCAATGAGGAGCGAAAGCTGCTGTCTGTCTGTCTGTTTTCGACATAGAACTTTGCACAAATGTGCGGAAGTTCAAGTCGCCACATTCCGTGTAGCACGCGAAGCAAGAGAAGAAAGTACAAGAAAAGCATAGTAGAAACAGTGAGCAGAGGTGTGAGACAAAGGAGTAATAAAGAAATACAAAACAGTTTCATTGAAGATCATAAGTCACAGGGAGTGGATGCATCTGCGCCACTGAGAACGATTTTGAGCCATGTCACCAATTGTTTCCAACCATAGATTTTTACCGTCTCGAGGACCCCAGCCTGGAAGTCTACACCTTTCTACGTGGCTTAGACCAACTGTTGTGGATTTCATTGACTGATGCCAAGTTTTTGTTTGACCGCCGCTAGTTTTTTTCCAGCCTGACCCTATATCCGCTAACATTGCTCGTCGAGGGAGGCGATGGCTTGGCATACGTAACACATGTCCTAACCATCTCAGTCTTTGTAGCTTCACGACTTCGTCGATTGATTTCCCCTGTTTACCTAGAACTCTACGCCTAACCTCCATGTCGCTCACCTTATTATGCCACTTTACACGGGAAATAGAACGCAGGCACCTATGATCAAAGACAGCTAGTCTTTTCATGTCTTCCACTCTCAGTGGCCAGGTCTCACAACCATAAAGGAGGACGGAGCGGACTGATGAGCAGTACACCCGCCCTTTGGTCGATAGTCGAACATCTCGTCTACGCCAGAGTCGGCGTAAACTAACAAATGCGAAACGAGCCCCTTGTATTCGTGCTGAGATTTCGTCAGAGATCAGCCCGTTGGGGCTGATGGTACTTCCCAAATAAGTGAAGCGGTCAACGTGCTCTACCACTTCACTTCCTATTTTTAAACTAGGCGTCGATGTGGTCCAGTCCTGTAACATCATCTTGCATTTGGCGGGAGCGAATCGCATGCCAAACATTCGTAGATTGCGGCTCAAGGTGTTTAGAAGACTCTGCATTTCGTCAGCGTCTTCGCCTAGAAGGACTATATCGTCTGCATATTCCAAGTCAACGAGATTATTCCCCGGTAGCAAGTCAATCCCTGAGTCACTGAAGTCACCTAGGGTTAAGTCCATTAACACATCTATGATGAAGTTGAATAGAAAAGGAGATAATGGGCATCCTTGACGGACACCACTGGTCGTCATCAGTTCAGATGACAGCTCGCCGTAAGCCCTCACCTGGCTGTATGAGTACGAATAGAGTGCCTTAATCAGTGCAATATATTTTCTTGGAATTCCCTTTACAGCCAAGCATCTCCAGAGAACTTCCCGATCGACAGAGTCGAATGCTCCCTTTAGGTCAAGAAATATAATGACTGTTGGACGCCGGTAGGAATGCCTATGTTCTAGAATCTGTCGGAGGGTGAAGATATGATCAATACACCCTCTTCCTGGTCTAAAGCCTGCCTGGTTCTCTCGTGTTTGTGCTTCCCGAGCACCACTCAGTCTACGCATGATTATTGAGCCTAAGACTTTAGATACTATATTAGTCAAGCGAAAGCTGCACAAGAGGAAACTTACGAAAAGTCTCCGCAAGGACCGTG